AGTCTCTCCTCCCAACTGCATGCCAACTCTTGCCAGCTGAAGCGGTTCCTATACATCATCATCACCATCCACGAATACCTACAGCCACTCAAACACGCGCAACACCCTTCCTCAATGAACAACTGACTCCTGCTCCCCACCCTTTTCTCCTTGCCAGTCCTCTACAAGAATCCATAACCGCGTTCAGGTTGCTTCCTGTACGGATACCTAGGTACCCTTACCATACACACCCCCCTCCCCTCATCCCCACAAATGCCACCCGGTCTTGAGTCCCTCCTTGCCCGCTTCTTCCTCCTCCGCCAAAAGCTACTCGTGGACCAGATTATCTCCACTGGCTAGGGAAGGACGCAGAGCCCTCTTCCAAAAGAAACGACGAGGGGTACTACTGTAAGGGAGGGTAGTCGGGATCCCCAAGACGGAGCTATTGGTACGTGAGCTTCCTGTTAGTGCGGCAAGCAGACCAAAAGCAATATCCATCTTCCCAAGGTCCCTGTTCCCTCCCGTGTGGATCTGTCCGGCCGAACCTCTCTGTCGCCGCAGACTCGTCGTCGTCGTCGTCGTCTTCCCTTCAACACTCATAACACACGTACCGTACCTGGCCTGCAGGGAGACAGACTGGCTTTGCTATCTCTCTCTCCATCAGACAGACCTGGGTATGCGAGAAATGCAACACCACTGCCCCGTACCTCGTCAACATTCCTCATCTACCTCCTTCACCCCCGCAACAAAATCAGCGACAGAGTCTGACTTTCTGAGTCCCAGTCTCGTCTCTCCCTCTTACTCCCCATCTCCTACTCTCTTTCTAGTTTCCCCATTTCTGTCTTCGCCTACCCCGTTCATGCCCGGTGAGTAACCTCACAACCGATATTCGGGCACTTCTGGCTTGGTGGACCTCGCTCGCAAACCTGCTGCTCTTCTCGCCGAAGAAACGCACGAGTGCTGCAGCATCTTTGAGCTTGTTTCCCTCAAAGGACGCCTGTTTCTAACTCTCTTGTTCTCACGAACAGGTTCGCCATCAGCCTACAGGACCAACGAACGAAGCACGGTTCAGCTCCACGCCTCTGGCATAGTGAACGGATTCAGTCTGTTTGTCAACAACCTCTAGCCCTGATTGGACACAACACTGGCGAACACCCCGACCTAGACGGTTGAGTACGTGATCCCTTCCTCTGCCTGCAAGCTGTTGCATGGCCACGAACTCCAGCAAGAAGCCGTTATGCCGCTCGCTGCATCTTGCCGTCCCCAGCCAGCAGTTCTTGCGAAGGAGCATCAATGCTCCACCTTTGGAGCATTCAGGCTGACTTGCGTGCCAATGAACAGTCCCAGCACGGCATCTTTCAGTCGGTTACCAGCGCGTTGGAATTCTTGGGTCGTCCCGAAACTTGATCTCAGATTTCGGTTTGCCAGCGCCACGGCGACCAATGACAGGTGCATCGGTCTGAGTTCACTTCGCGCAACATCTGCCCTCAAAGAGCTGAGCTTGGTTTAAGATTGCCGCTCCTGGGTATCTTCTCAGCCTTCCCGCTTTCTCCATTTCTCCAACTTGCTTCGCTCTTCTCAACCTGGTATCATCACCCGGCCCGACCTCTACAGCTCGCTCCTCGATTCCAGTCGCGTCGAACCTCCACAATAATCACAGCAGCCGATCTTCTCAAATTCCTAGCGCCACCAGCCAGCTCGGATACGCCATCCACATATCTGAGTACGGTGTCTCAAACCAATCCTGCCGGGAGAATATCCTGAGACTGACGTTCCTCTACTAGGAATTCTCCCTTCCCTCGCACTTGTCCTTGCCCTGTTCAACAAAACTCGCCCGGACTCTAATCACAGCAATCTCAAGACATATCTCTCCCTTCCTCCCTTTGTCCCTCGACGGTCCCACAAGGCCATAGTCTCTTTTCCTGTCGTTGCAACACTGCTCCCGAAACAGTGGTTTGCATTTTCCCGACACCAGATCACGCATCCTTTCCCAAGTGCACCCTCTTCTACAGCTTGAATGTCTGCTGCGAAGTTTGAGTGTGCTTCCTACAAGCATTTCGAGGTGAGTCAAAACTTCCCATCTCAACGTGGAGTTGAGCCACCCCCGAGACGTTGTTGGCCGCATCACTCGACAACGCCTCGTGCTATCTTGAAGAGCGCGGTAAGGCTGACGAGGGGTACCTCACCGAGAACAGCCCGACTTCCACCCGCAAAGGCCAATAATCATCGGCGAGGAAGGCCTTGACTCGCCAGAAACGGTGACTCTCAAGTACGAAGAGGCAGTCGCAAGGGCCAACGGAGACCTTCGGGGCGACTCCCCGCCGGGCGGTCTCCTCCCCATGTCCCACTACGGGAAGCAACAGCCAGGCCCAATCCACGGTACGTTTTTTTTTCTCTGTAGTAAAGGCGAGCTTGATGGACTTTGTGTGATCTTTTCGGTTCCCATGAGCGTTTTGGCTCAATACACCCAGTTGGAGTGCTATGGCTAACACGAACGTGTGTCTTGCAGGGTATGATTCGTCCCGTGGGTATCAGGATGCCGGGTATCAGCAATATGGAGCGCAAGCCTACCCTGCGCAGCACGGCGGTGCAGGCCAGCTCACCGCAGCCCAGATGAACCAGGAAGCTTTTGCCGCCAACAGTGCGGTGGGCTCGTACATGTCTGTCAGTGTAGGTCCATCGGTGGTATCATGTCAACCAAGTTCTGGAATGGCGGGCACCAAAGTGCAGGTCAAGATCAACTCGCCATACGATCTCCTCACCGTGGCGCCTTTCTACTCCCTCGTTTTCGGCGTGAACAAGGTGCAGGCACAACCCACCAAAGAATCCCAGGACAGCAACGGCTACATGTTCGTTGTCTCGGCCGATGCACCGTCATTTGTGGTCACCAGCTGTGCCAACGAAAACGTGCCAGTTTTGGTCCTGATTGAAACAGAGAACGGCGAAGAAGTGTTCAAGGCGGCAGCGGGTCAATTTGTATATCACGAAGCAGGCCCAGGTGCTAGATCAGACGACATCACGAGGAAGATGTCAAAGTCACCTGAACAGCAACATCAGTCCCCCAGGTCAGCAAGCACTCAGCTCGGCAACGAAGCCAGTACAAATACGTACGACTTTGCAACAGCTCCGCAACAGCCTGCCCAGTCTCCCTATGGAAACTCATTCTCGCAAGACAACAACAATACCAACATGCTCAGTGCTTACCGAACCAACTCCTTCCCGGAGCAGCATTACGCCCGAGCAGTGCCCCCGCCGTTGCGGCCGCCGATGGCCGGATGGCAGGCATACGGACGAACGCCCGGCCCCCCCATCACGCACACGCAGATCTCGCGTCCTAGCTTGACGCCGCTACCGATGCCATCTGCCACGATGCCTCTGCTTGTCAGGACCAGCTCGATCCCAAGCTCTCCGGGAGGCGGACAGCAGTCTGGTTACAACCACTGGGGATCTTATTCCAACAAGGCTCAACTAAAGATTGTTGGCAAGCTCGATACCATGTCTACCGAATGGTCTCCCGAGGAGTGGTCTAACCGAAGACGCATCGTCATGTTCAGCAAGAAACAGACAGGACCGACGCTCACGGCAACCTTCCGACCCGTCAATGTCAATGAGAGACCACCCAACAGTATTTGCATCAGCTGCATCTGGTGGGCAGAGAAGAACGAGTGTTACGTCACGTCTGTGGACACTATCTACCTCTTGGAACAGCTTGTCGTTGCTCCAGCCAGGTTCACTGTGGAGGAGAAGAACCGCATCCGCCGCAACCTCGAGGGCTTCAGGCCTTTGACGGTCAGCAAGGCCAAGGCCGACTCGGAGGAATTCTTCAAGATCATCATGGGATTCCCGAACCCGAAGCCGAGGAACATTGAGAAGGACGTCAAAGTTTTCCCGTGGAAGATTTTGGAATCGGCGCTGAAGAAGATCATTGGCAAATACAGCGCTAGCCCCTCATCGACTCTTCCAGCCTCGCACCTCTTGACGCCCACACCGGTCAACGCGTATCCCCCACCGCTCCCGACGCCGCCAGCCCCAACTGTTGCATCAGACCATGTCAGTGCCTATGGCGTTCCATCGCAAGTCCACCACCACGAAGGGTTGACCTCACCGCGGTCGATCACCGGCAGCACGCATAGCTGGCCTGCGTATTCCACAGGACCACCGCGCAACCTTTCTCCCGCACTCACATCAGTGTCGCCGCGGCAATCTGGACTACGTCTCGCTGCACCTCTACCAGCTGTCAGCAGCTATGATAGTCGGTCGATGACGAGCCATTCATACGGCGGCGGGCTCCAGACACCGCTGGGAAACCAGCATACACCGCCTTCAGCCCCTGGACGGTGGGATCCTACGATACCAGCGATGCATGCACCAACTACCTATGCAGAGCAGTACCAGTCCATGACTGCGCACCACACCCCAAGTCACCAAGTATACGGTGGTGGCGGATACGGGGACGGGGCGCAACGGGCTTGACGCCGCGGAGGCGCCTAGGTGGGAGCGAGGGTGCCTGACAGGCGGCGGGCCAGGTGAGCGACGACGACCTGGCCGAGGGGGCAAGGTGCTTCGCGTCTGGTGAGGCACAAGCGTGATGTCCCGGAAGCAACACAACAAGTCTGGTCAAGACTTGATGGAGTGAGTCACTACTTTGGGACCAGGGTCGAGGGGTACGGGAGGGGCTTGGAGACACAGGGCAACCGCGTGAGCGAAACACGGGAACAAGAGCAGGGCTGGACAAAGGGAAGGGAAGCATCAAGAGATGTCGTCGGAGAGCAAGTCGTACGTCGTTGACTTGATTGGGAATGGCCAGGCTGCGGCTTTGGACAGGCTGCACGAGGAAGATGGAGGTGTGGTGTAGGGGTCCACGGGTTTATTCCCCCCCCGGTCACACACTTGCATCTGTCCGTCGCACTCCTCGTCTTGGTCCCGGGTTGACTGTCACTGGGCGTAGTGCGGTGCTAGAGCTTGAGGATGAGCATGAGCATGAGCATCTACACTACTACCGAATAGGACTTTTGGTGTGGATGGGTGGAGACCCTGGAGGTGCTGTCAGCTGCTGTGGCGCAGACCAATGGAGGCTTCCGGAATCGAATCCACTTTTCCCGATTTAGATGGAGTCGGCGAATCACCTCTGCCCCGCTCAGCGACCGGCACCGCCAGCTCCACTCCCCGGCATCGACCTTGGGGATTACGAGCCACTTTTCCTCCGACGCACCATCCTCAACCCTCCCTCTCTCTCCCCCCTCCTTCGCCATCTCAGCTGGGAGCCTATCACCCCGTCTCTCTCTCTCAGTCTGCCTCTATGTATGCTCTGGGAGGCGGGGAAGCTTTCGATGTTTCCCTCTTTTTCGACAGCTTTCAGTATGGATGAACCCCTCCTCTAGACCTTCACCGCATTGTCACGACGTGCAAACAGTGCAGGGGCAAGCGGCGCCTACTTTGCCTCTCTGGTCACATTTTTGTCTATCATCCATGACGGGACGATTCTAGACCACCTATCATCGCCGCGTTTGTCCGCCTGCACTTCGATAACGGATCCGAGCCTCGACCATCAACGTCGCCAATCAGTAGCTCTTTTCTTGGTGCATGATGGGTTGGGGGTGTATCTGGTGATCGTCTCTTGGAGGGGTCGCCTGTATCCGTCCGGCCTGCATGACGTACATCATCTGCGTCAAGGAGCTACCGAACGACACCGCGCCTTATCCGCCTGCTCCAAAATGCTAGACGCTACTCTGTCTTCTCCAGACCCGTCTTTCCACCGGCTCGTCTTCGACCACTCGCTTGCCTTCCCGCCGGGCCTCTTCGGTCGTGCATTGGCGTTCCCGTGTTCCATACATGGGTTTCAAGGGCTCACCCGAGCCATTCACATGGCCTCCAAGTCTAAGCAAGCGCCCCTAAATCAACGACCAAGAACGAGCCGGCTCATCTGTCACGAAAAAGACAAGGAAGCATATTCCTGGCCAGGATATCTGTTTCCCGGGCAAAGATCAGTAGCAGCCCCCATCGTCACAGCATTCATGACATGCCTTGGCTCTCGACTCGCTTCGCAAACGCGGGTGGCGCGGCTGAGTTTATTTCCACGCAGCCCGTCCGACCCTCCACTGCGCACTTTCGCTACTGACCCCAAGATCGGCAAAGACGGGGGCGCGGACTGATGCAACTCCGACCGCGACGCTGCTAACGACGCGTACTCTCGCGGCCTGGGGCTGGCTCACCACCTTGGCGACGATTTCCCACACCACCAATCTGTCTGCCTCCTTGCCCGAGACACTCTCATACTTGTTTCAGGAAATGACTGCAGTTCGAGCTGCCCACTGCCCACATAGAAAGGATACAACGGTGTTTGTCTACGGCTCGTTTGGTGATAGACTCGGTTGCATTTCGCTCATCTTTCCCCCATAGAGGACCGCCCACTACTACCCCACCAACGACTCGGCATTATAACCAATACGACTTTTCCCGCCTCTTCAAACCCCCTCGGTGTTTTGCTAGCAACATTCACGCGGCCTGCCGGGGCACCTGACGTCGCTTATCTGGACCACGTCTCGGCAATCTCAACCATACACGACAATCACCTCCACATCGCTACAATCACATCACTCGCGCTGCAACGACACTCCTTGCTCTGAACCCTCCCTCACAGAACACAACACAACACAACACAACACCCAACATATCCTATACAACGCTTTCTATCTTTCTCCTTCTCCTTCTCTCTCTCTACCTTCCATACATCTCATATTATCTATGCATTTATCTTTACTGGCGCGAAGGGGAAAGGGGTTGGGATAGAACGGGGGAGAACTTGGACTGGGGCCAGTCAAATCATGTAAGACTTTCTAGAAGACGGTCGAAGAGGAGGAGGGAATTGGAACGGACAATGTGCGGACAGGGCGACGGAGAATACACGGGTTTCACAGGTGTCTTTGGTATGGTACAGACCGGGACAGGTCGGTTCTCGGGGAATCAGGTAACGGGGATACAACATTCTGGTGGGCTGCACATAGCATTATACCCTTCGCTTTGCTTTTGATGGCTTCGGGATCTGGGTTTTCGGTATTGTCACATATGGGATAGTCTCCTGATAATCATAATCGCTTGACATCTTTAAGAAAGTTGGTCCTTACTCCTCGCCGTGTGATGTAGAATGATTCACGGCGCTCGACATGTATGCTGCCCGTCGAGATGTCGCATCTTGACGCGACTGCCTTGGGTACAGTCCATCGCCGGGTTGGCTGCGTGAGCTGGCTGATTCACTACTTCCACCGATCAAAACAAGCGCCTTTGGCCGTGATGAACGTAACCTAACGAGACCACCTCGACTTGTATAAAAGAAGCCGACTATCAACTGGCCATGAAAGTCACCATCGAAACATCCACCACCCAACCAGTGCTATCAAGGCCCTCAGACATTGAAACTAACATCTTCATCAGCATCACAAACTCCAACAAAACCACACCAAAAATGGCAAGCGACTCGAGCGTAAACGCCCTGGTAGGCATCCTTACCTTCTGCATGGTCGTTGCATTCCTATTCTTCTGCTTCCTCCTGTACATGCGCTTCGTCAAGCGGCGCGTCCTCGTGCCCGTCGATCTGGGACCGCGCAGAGGACGGAGTACCACCGCCGTACGGGGCAGCGTTGGCGGTGATTCTGCGGCGGGGACGGGGGAGGATAACAGAGATGTTGGGAACGAGTTGGGCCGGTCTGGTGGTGCGACGACTGAGGGGCCGGCGAGGGTGGTTTGAGGTCCACCGTACTGATGGGATGGGATCGGGATAGTCAAAGTTTGCAACAAAGGCAAGGGCCGTCCGTCACCTGATGATGCACGAGAGGCTTGTCTTGGGAGGGAATTCAATAGATTCAACATGACAATATCAAATAGTAGCAAAATTGAGAGGACGTCAGTCTTGGGCGAAAAACAAATACTCCATCGGTAGTCTACCCCCATGCGCGAGGTAACTCGTAAAACTCAAGATATCCAAAGTTCCCATGGCACGACGCCTTGGATTTCGCCCTCTCTTCCCCTTGTTCAAATTCCAAACCGCATAGCTGCAAATTTACCTTGGCAATAGTAGTACTTCTTGATAGTATCTTCCGTGATGCCCATATTGGCGAATGCCTCTCGAAGCCACCGAAGCTGGTGGTTTCTCAAGTTTGCGTTGGCACCGTGCGGCAAGTGAATCGTGATACTTGCCGCTTCGGGCTCCCCATTCGCTCCAGCCGGTTCCGGCAACGCGGAATGGGGCGTCCAGCTGAACTTCTCGCGAGATCCCTCCTGGGTCTGGCGGGAAAAGTTGAACGCGCTAAAGAGCTCAAACACGTTCCTCTTGACGACGGACCCTTCACCGTGGTTCCAAATACTTTCTATGGTCGACCAAACTGACCTGCTTATCGTGACCTTGTCCGTCTCGTCCCTGTTTTCTGCCTCTCTATCCTCAGGAGTCGACACCACTACGAGCTTGGGTAGACGAGAGTCCCAATGGGAAGGCTCGCAGTGGTCCGGGGGCGCGACGGTCATAATCTCTCCGCAGATCTTCTTGCAATCGTACCAAGGCCGTTTCAGTTCCAAGTCGACTTTGCCAGGAGGTTCGGCAGCGAGATATCGTTGAACACCGGCTGGTCGACAATACCTTGGCGTCGCGGCATTTTTGCTGACTTTGCTCCTCTTACTCCCGTGCCTCACGATACCGCCGCCACCCCTACCACCGCCCGCAGGGCTCGTTTTCTTCTTTGACTTCTTGAACTCCTTCGAACCCTTCGACTCCTTCGACTCCTCTGAGTCGTCCCACTCTAACTCTTTGGTCGACTTTACAAGCCCGTTGCAGAGTTCTTGCCAAAAGCTCTTCACCAACAACTGGGCTAGCAACGAATGCCGGCCGTAGTCTTTGTCTCCATGCGGTTTGTAGACGACCCCGAGCAACCATTGTGTGTATCTCAGCGTCTCCTCTTGCACAAGATCCTCGAATGGCACGTCGTCAAAACCTATGAGAAAGGGGCCTACTGGACTTTCACGGCGCCGCGTGCTGCGACCTTTGGCATCCAGGAGATCTTGTCCGAATGGATGTACAAGTTGCATGTGATGGCAGAGTAGGCCCGTCAAGTGTATAGCTTCATAGTCTCTTGTGACTGTCGTCTGAGCCCCGAGTGCTGTGTGTCGCTCATAAAGCTTCGTGCGCAAGGCCCGGATGAGCTTCGGTAAGCCAATGGTCCCAATGTTGAAGTTGCTCGCAAGTCCGGTGTGGACATTCTTGATTGACCACCAGGTTGGACTATCCAACATTTCGATGTTAGGTTCGTTCATGTCGTTATTGTCAATGTCCATTGCGTCCCCGTGTGTTGCCGACTCGCGGTTCCTTACAGTGAAGTCTATCTTGGTACCGGCATACTGCTTGGGTAGGTCCCAATCATCCTTGACTACTTGCAAATTCGGCCAGCCAGTATCTCGACGAAAGAGATGCCGGGTTGTTTCGCTGGCAAACAAGCCGCCATGGCCGACGACGTGGTTTATTCGACGCTCCACAAACCAACGTGCATGGAAGCCCAAGTCGACCCAGGCCTCCTTCACTTTAGGTTGATCGTCTGGTATTTCTAGACGCTGGGAACCTTCTGAGCACCAAAGGTTAACTCCGCTGGCACGAGCAAGGTTCCACAAGGCATCGATTTTGCTGACCAGGCATTGCCACATTTCGACTTCGTATAGAGCCCACTGAACGACGCGTCTGATGATGTCATTGATCAGACTCTTCTTTGCGTCAATGTCGCGTGCCAAAAAATGAGGAAGTTCGCCCTGGTATGACACCGCCATTGCTGCTTTCTTCGGAACATGGTGGACGGAGGTCTGGGGTTGCTCGGATACGTGTCCGTAGTGCTGCTGAAATTGCTCATCGACGCATTGCTGGAAATAGAATGGATCGAGCCAGAGGCTCCTCAAATGATCTTTTGACCATTGTAGTTGCTGTGTAAACTTTGTCTTGAATTCATCAAGCCATTTCCGGTTGAGAGAGGCTGGTGGCATGTACAACCCATATTCGACTATTCCCTCATTTTCGAAGTAGAAGATCCTTTCTGAACGGTGTGCTTTTGTCCAGGCATCGACTCGGTCATTGTCGACAGCTTCAGCGCCTACTTCTTCCCTTGGTTGGCCGCTTTTGATTGCTATTGCTTTGGTGACACTGTAGAGGATTCGGTAAAGCAGGGCTTGGGTATGGAGGAGATGGATGCCATCGGCCCAGGCAAAGAGGCGACCACTCTTGCGTAGATGTTCAAACATCCAGTCTTGGTCAGGGTCTCTTTGGTCAGTATGGCATATCAGAATGAAGTCGTCCACGATGAAAAAGTAGGGGGCGCTTCGCTTCAGTCCCATCTGTTTGCCCATCTGGACATCATCTGGAGTGAGGATCCCAATGAATCGATTGTCCACAAATTTGGGCAGGAACAACTTGCTAGCTCGACCGAGATGTAGTGCTTCCCAGTCTGCGAATGTAAAGGCGCTGGGGTCGCAATTCATTCGGTTTATGATGAGATGTGCCAGAAGCTTGGGATTGCTGAGATCGGATTGGTTCATCCAGGATAGTAAGAAGGCCCTGTAGGCGCGTTGCGTGTCGTTGGTCGGATCGTCTCTGTAGATGACGTTCTTGAACGAGATTTGAGCGCCTCCAACCTCGCATGCACGAGTTTCGATGTCTTTGAAGAGCCTATAGTATTCCTCCAAGTCGGCACTGTAATTATGCGGAAGCTCTTCGTGTGTGCCAAATGCATTCAATTCGGGATGACTAGTAAGGGCAGCTTTATACGCCCCATTGACAAGTGTTAAGAGCTCGTCGCGTGGCAGGAATGGTTCGTCCTCGAGGAGGTTCGTGATGACTTCCACGTTGACCTTCCCGCGGAGGCGCCTGAATGCTGCGTATGACTTGGAGAGAGCTCGAATCACCTGAAATTCGAATTCCCGAGCGTCTCCTTGGTTTATCAGCTCTGTGGAGACGAACTCATTGGTTGCATCTGATTCCTCAATCGGGCCTCGAAATCCGATATCTCTTAGTTTTTGTTTGGGTTGTTTTTCTTGAGTGCTCCATGGGCCATCTGGCAGCCAGTTGAGAGACGAGTAGACCTTGTCCAGATATTGCTCTGATTCGTCATAGACATCCTGCGATAATTCTTGCATAGCGAATCTAGAAATACGGACAAGACGGGTAAAAGAATCGGAGTGGATGCGTGATGAAAGGCTGATAGAAAGGTGCAGAGATAGCCGGCGTCGTACAGAGTGGCTAGTAGTGAGGATTGAGGATGCCAGTAGCAGCGGAAGACACAAACAATGAAGGGCGAGACATGGCTCAAGTACTCTGTTGATGAGGCAGGTTGAAATAAACGAGTTGCCACGATGGCAGGGCCTGGAGAAAGTTGCTGAAACCACGAGGACAGGGTAAGGCGCTCAGTTTCAATGACATTGTTGGAGAAAGCATGATGAAAGAGACTTCTCTTGTTGGCCGAAACAACAATCCGATGAGCTAACAAAGCAACGAAGGGAGAGGGGAGGATGTGTTGGTGAGTGACAAGGTGATTATTTCTGTCATCTTGACAGATTGACGAGAAGGAGAAGCGGTTTCGAGCTTGATAGAAGTAGGATAATTGTGCTTGGGATCAGTTCCCCTCCACCGGATTCCCGAAAGAATGTTGTAATGGAAGAGCGTCGTAGCTCAGAATTTGAAGAAAAGGAAAGTTGGAAGGGCCTGGTTTAGCCCAATTGGCATACTGGACGGGCGGGGAGCGTAATGTACTTGGAGGGGTAGAAATGTCAAGTTGGGTTGATGGCTTCAGACATCCATACAGCTGTATGAGATGGGATGAAGTGCGATGGAAAACGACAACGGTGGTGAGAATGTGGTTGTGGAGGGGTAGGTAGTCGTGGTAGGTTTTCAGAGAAGTCAAGGCTCGGTTTAGGAAGGCTTGCATCATTGTTCAGACGAAGCATACGATCAGGTACACGCTGCTATGAATCTATGATAGCTACTGTGTGGTTCCTGAGTTAGCCGTCAATAGTGCGGCTGTTGGTGGGCAGCAAGTTCTGGCAAGTCGCTACCTACATGTTGAGGAAAGGTGAAGGTGTCAATCGTGACTGTCAAGGAGATTTTCCGTGGCATTTTGCAGGCCGACGGGTGCCGGATCCGGGAAGGCAAGGGAAGACCATGCTTGATTCAGTTAGAGCTACGGGTCTTCGGATGGACAAGACCCATAGCTGTGCGCACCAACAAGGACTAGCGCCCTGTGTAATGAGTGGCGCTGGGCGCGCAGGAGCCATCTGGCCGGGCCCACCGTCCCACGTCGTATTTCCACGAGAGCAGGAGCTAAGACCCAAGAAGGTCAGGAACGCCAGGGGACCACTGGGAAGGAGGGTCCTTCCTTGTTTCTTTTTGTTTTCCTTCCTCGCCTAAGTCCTGACTTTCTTTGTTTCGTTACTTCCCGTTTTAATATCAATAAAGTACGGAGTACTTACCTACTTACATTTCTTGACCAAGGTACCAGTAAGGTACTACATACAATGAAAGGTCGGTCGTGATAGGCAACTGCGTGGAAGAAGCAAGAACCCCGAAAACGTTCCGGAAAGAACACGTCCACAGGGGATGCCACCATGAATATTGTTGAAATGCATGGGATGCCAACTTGCCCGATGAATGACAGTCAGCTACAGTCTAAGGTACAGTACAGACACAAGTACCTATTCATACACCGGGCAGTTACACGGCCATGCCCAGAATCCAGGGGCAAGGTCAGCTCTGGACGCGCCATTGGGTGGACGTTTGGCCAAGACCAATGGACAAAGGCATCAACCCTCAATACTATCAGCAATCGGCCCAGCCCAGCCCGGGCGCCGCAGTAGCTCGACCACCTCAGCTTGGCGGCAGGTGGGTGGTAATATTGCCTCTTTGCATTCCCCTCCCACCGACGCATCCGCAGCTACGTCTACTTGTACATACAGTACAGCCCGGTGAGATAATCCTCTCCAGATCAAGGTACCTACCTTACTTGGACGAGCTGAAGATGACCCTTATCGCGCAAAGACACCCAAGACACGCTACTGACGTACAGAACGCACCAGTGCCTGCGCCAGTCCCAACGCCAAACGCCAGCGGCAACGCCAAACCAGTAAACGCCAACGCCAACGCCGGCACCGCCAGCATGGGATTTTTCATTCCTGTTTTCTCTTCTTGTTCTTCTTCTTCCCCCTCCTCCCTCCGAGCTGCCGTCTCTTTCAGACTTTGTCTCTTTTTCAGCTCCGCCTCCTGCATTTGTTGTCCAGTGCTTACCACGTCGTTTCTTTGAGGAGGATTCTTGGTGTTTAAACCATCCATTGTCACTCGTTTTTCCAAGTCTTGCCCGCCGACAGCCCTGCATCCATCACAATCGGAATATCCCTACCGTAATTCTGCCACTCTCCACGCTCGCTCATTCGGAATACACAGTCCTCGACAAAGACGAAACGCAGGAATCAAGATTGCATCCATTGTCCAACTTTGCAAACCAAATCGATACTCGAGTACCGTCGTCAATCCAGGGCCCAGCACACTCGAAATAGCAAACGACACCCCCTGCGATACCCGTCGTCGCTTTTGCCTCCAAGGGCCACCCAAATCCATTCGACCCGAACCGCCCGGCCCCCAGTCGCTGTTCAACCGGGTCTCACCCACTCGAGAGCCTCAACCTTGAACCCGCCCACCATGCTCTCCACATTCCTCCTCGCCCTGCTGCCCCTCGTGGCAGCAACATCCTCCTCGAAACGCGGTCTCGTCTTCACTCCGAATTCCAATTGGCCTCAGGACAATCAAGTATGGGTTCAATCAGGTTCCGATCTGACATGGTACTACAATTACCAGGAAATCCCAAGCCCGGCCTTCTCGGGCAAGACTCAGGCTGAGTTCGAGTTTGTCCCCATGATGTGGGGTGTCTCATCGAACCCCCAAGACACGACATTCCTTAAAAGTGTGACGAGCTTGATCAAAGACAAAGGCATCAACATCACCCACGCCCTAGGCTTCAATGAACCTGATGGTCCCTCATCCTATGGCGGCAGTGATGTTGCCCCTTCTATCGCCGCCAAGGCCTGGGTTGCCAATTTCATTCCCCTTCAAGAGCTCGGCGTCAAGGTCGGTCTTCCCGCCTGCACCGGCGCTCCGGGCGGTTTGCCCTGGTTGAAGCAGTTCTTGGGCAACTGCTCCGCGCTCATTAGCACCGACGGAGAGACCAAGAACTGCACATACGACTTCCTCCCCGTACATTGGTACGACAACTTCGGAGGCCTGGCGAGTCACATTGGCGAACGTGTTGCAGCGTATGTTGTCACTCATTTCTCATGCTGTGCGCTGTCCCTCAGATAACTAACACTTGCCTAGGTTCCCCGACACCAAGATCTGGATTACCGAGTATGCCTACGCCAACCAGGAACTCTCCGCGACCCAGGACTTTTACAACATGAGCGCAGAGTACTTTGACCGTATCGACTACATTGAGCGGTACACGTACTTTGGTGCTTTCCGCTCCAAGACGAGCAACGTTGGCCCCAACGCCTCGTTTTTGAACAACGACGGCAAGTTGACAGACATTGGCTCATGGTACCTCGGCAAGAGTGCCACGGGCGTGAAGCCGACGTCCGGTGACAGTAGCGCCGCCGTTCGTGGAGGCGCACCGGTGCTTACTGCGATGGCAGCCACTATCCTCGGTGCCGTCTTCATTTTCGCCTCATGATTCAAACCGGCAACATGTAGATTTGGTCCTTCCAACACGAGACGTGAGGGTTCTCATGACGATGTCATCATGATCTTATACGATGTAGGGCAGGGATATATACTACCCCCAGGAACATATTCATCGCATAGACGAAGCCAGGATAATACCGCCTAGTCATCTTTTTTTCACATATTTGTAAGGTTTCCTTTCTCTCATCAAGTTATAGAACGCGGATTAGAGGGATAAAGAGCGGCGAAAAGCTGTCGCCTTGAGCCCAGAAGACATTTTGGACATGTCCATAGAACGAATATATCTGACGACGTTAACAAAATCTGCACTATGTATATTGAACTGGACCAAAGTGGTGTTGTTGATTACTATACCTTCCATACCTTACATCGATGGTATCCTCGGGTTAAAGTCGGCATTAGCAGGGTGAGCCGTGGGGTTTGACTTTGATACAGAACATGGTCACGAACTCAAAGTCGAACCAAGTGTCATCTGATAAAAAGGCAGTGTTGGTCAGCAAATTCAACGGCAGTAGTTTGTCAGGTCGGTAAGACCGGGGGTTCGCTGCGATGCGATGGCAGCAAGACGTAGCCGGCGGACGGCATTTCTGAGAGAGAATGACCTCGGCGAAAAGTGTTACTGGGTGTTAGTTAAATCGCGCAAGAGAGCGCGGCTGGCTAACAGAAGATATCCTCCGCGCTACTGCACCCCAGACTCCATGGGGACCCCCATCACTCGGGTCCTCAACTCCTACTGGCCGGCTCTGTGGCCGAGATGCCTCGGTCCAATTGACTCCCCCACAGCCACTGGTCTGGGCTGGAACTCAACGCCTGGGGAAAGACCCGAGCCCCGACACGATTGCCGGCAGCTAAGCCGTCATGAACCATGTCTACTTGACTACTTGACGCTGCTTGGCCCCCCCCTCCTTTCAATAACTGTCGACCAAACTCTCGAGCTTATTTTCCTCTTCATTTCACTTCTTCTCTGTCCTCGTTCTTCCATTGCTCCTTGAAGAGAAAAAAACAGCCAAGCCGTCGTCGTAATACCTCCACAATATCATCAGACATTATGGCTCTCGAGAGAATCGGATCCATCGTGAAGCACCTTGCACCAGGTAGCGCCCTCAACCAGATGTACGTACGGTCCTTTTTGCGGACATGTGATTGCGTGTCTCCGATTCGGAGCATCACCACCCACAGCGGACGAACCAAACAGCTGACATTGCTTCCCCTCACAGCACCTCCAAGAACCCCGATGATATCGTCATTACGTTAGCCGTCCGCACGCCTTTGGCCAAGGCCAAGAAGGGCGGCTTCAAGGACACGACCCTCGAGTACATGGTGTACGCCCTCCTCAAGGAGGTTCGCGAACGATCAAACATTGACCCCGCCCTGGTCGAGGATATCTGCATGGGAAATGTGCGTAGCCACACAAACAGTCTCCCCGTTTCCCAAGCAGACAAACCGCTGACTCTTGTGATCATTACAGGTCTCCGATGGCAAGGCCGCCTACAAGCTCCGCGCCGCCGCCCTGGCAGCAGGCTTCCCCAACACCGCCGGCGCCTCCTCCGTAAACCGCTTCTGCTCCTCAGGCCTCAAGGCCACCGCCGACATCGCCCACGCCATCAGCAACGGCTCCATCGAGGTTGGCATCGGCATGGGCGCCGAACAAATGACCATTGGCGGTGATGCCCTCGACCAGCCCTTTGACGAGGCCGTCGTCTCCCAGTCCCAGGAGTCGGCCGACTGCATGCAGCCCATGGGCTGGACCTCGGAGAACGTCTCGCGCGACTTCAACCTCAGCCGCGAGGAGCTCGACAAGTACGCCGCCGAGAGTTTCCAGAGGGCCGAGAGGGCGCAGAACGCCGGCTGGTTCGACGACGAGATTGTGCCCATCAAGACAAAGCTTGTCGGCCCCGACGGCGACGTTAAGGAGGTTACTCTTACCCGCGACGAGGGCATCCGCCCTGGAACAACGGCCGAGAGCCTGGGCAAGATTCGCTCCGCGTTCCCGCAGTGGGGTCCCACCACCACCGGAGGCAACGCCAGCCAGGTCACTGACGGAGGTGAGTTCACATCTACGGGTGAAATAATTCATGTTTACAAGCGTGCTAATCCTTTTACTCAGCCGCCGCCGTCCTCCTGATGAAGCGCTCCACGGCCATCAAGCTCGGCCAGCCCATCATCGCCAAGTACGTCGGCTCCACCGTCGCCGGCCTGGCCCCGCGCATCATGGGCATCGGCCCGTCCGTCGCCATCCCCAAGCTGCTCGCCCAGCACAACCTCTCCCTCGCCGACATTGACGTCGTCGAGATCAACGAGGCCTTCTCCAGCATGGCCGTCTACTGCCGCGACAAGCTCGCTCTCGATTGGACCAAGATGAACCCCCGCGGAGGTGCCGTCGCCCTCGGCCACCCGCTCGGCGCCACGGGCGCGAGACAGATTGTTACTGGTCTGAGCGAGCTGCGCAGGACAAAGAAGAAGATTCTGTTGACGAGCATGTGTATTGGTACGGGACAGGGTATGGCTGGTTTGTTTGTCAATGAGGCTGCGTAAAGCAGAATGCAGCAAGTTCGTTGATAGTTGTTGGAAATAAGCATCAAGAATGTGAATGATTGTACGATCACTGCGCTCCCGAGTTTATGGGTATTGGTTAATGTCATGGCACAAGTTTGAAAAATCTTGGCGAGGAGCTGTGGTAAGTTTGAATGTAAACAACAGTATGAGGCCCAGATGAACAGGCCATATTCAACACGTCAGTGAAACATACACATCACTTTAGAATCAGGCTAGAAGAAGTTTGGAAAACAACCACGCCGCTTTTTATATAAAATTTCTATAAACATATCCATAACGTAGTCGTTGCGTTGCGAATCATTAAGCATAAAGTACGCTTCGTAAGACGAACAGATATCCTGCAAGAACTGAAAGTCGGAACGCCTTTCCTCGCTCCAAAAATGCTGGTTACCAAAAACGACGCCGCATTCTACCATATGTACAAACCAACCCCGCGCGCACTTGACGGTAAGAATTGATTGACTTGCGCCTCTTTTTTCTTCTCAAGCATTCGCGACTTCGCTGATGCTAGTCTCGTATTCGGTCAGCTTCAAGGCTTCCTGGACATCCGTCACGAAGTGTGACTCTCCGCCGACCAGATCTATGATGCCTGCCTGTCTCAAGAGTCTCCAGATGTGATGGCGCGGGTTGGTAGGGCCGCGGCTGAAGAACACTCTGACACCACGCTCTCTATACCCGCTGACAATCTCCAACAACACCTGCGTACCCGATCCGTCTAGTGAGGTGACACCGTGGATATCGAAAATGACATTCTTGTTGTGTTGCTCGCCGCGTAGTCTCGGCAGCGCAGGGTGCGCCATGCTCGTGCCGTAAAGCTCCAGTCTACGAAGACGTGCCTTGAGCTCTCCAGTGTTGGCAAAAGTCAAAGGTTCGGGAATCTTGACAATCAGGCAGCCTTCAACAAACTCTAGCCTGTCGGGGTTCAGCTCGGCGTTCTCGAAGCGCTGCGTGCCGGGAATGCGTCCCAGAATCTGAATGCGGGGCCGAGTCGAGTGCTTGATGACCTGAAGCAGAGACAGACCAACGCCGATAGCCATGCCGAGGGTGAGCGAGTAGAAAATTGTCGACACGAAGATGATGAGCATCAGTCCCAGTTCAGTCCAGCCTCGAATCTTGAAGAAGAAAGCAATGTCGTGCGGAGCCTCCTCGAGGAGGGACCAGGCTACAACGGTGATCATGGATGACAGGACCGGTTTCTGAGAATGTTAGATGATGGACCTACTTGTGGGAAGCGACAACTTACGGGAAGGTAGTAAAAGTACGGCAACAGGAAGAAGACGGCAAGAAGCGTAATCAAGCTGAGGAAGATGGAGCTCATCGGAGTCTTGCCGCCGGTCTGCTTGTTCAGTTTGCTTCTACCATATCCACCAAAGGCGGGTAAGCTCATGAAGCAAGCTCCAACAATGTTGGCGGCGCCCAGAGCAACAAGTTCTCTGTTGGGGCTCAGCTGAATCCCGTGAGGGCTATCGGAGCTGCTCAAGCTTTTCGCGGCAACGGATGATTCAAAGAATCCCAGAAGCGCAATCAGGAAGGATGTGCCCATTGCTTCACGAACATGCTCCATGTGAGAAGTCTGGAAGGGCCATCTGAATTGGAAAAGATGACCCGAAGCCGCCTTAACCGGCCCAAGAATCTCGACTCCCTTGCTCTCCCAGTCGAAGTGCCAAGAGAGAAGTGCGGCAATGACGACAACGAAGAAACGATCAGGAATGTACGCGACCCCCGGATACTTGGGCACCATGTGTTTCTTGAGCTCTCTCATAGTCATCATGATTACGAAGCTGACTCCGGCCACAATGAAGGTAAGCTTGTGAACATGGTCGAACGAGCTGAAGATGAACTCTAACTTGTCCATGCTGCTTCCGTGGCCCACGCCCATTTCTGCCGCATACTTGGCAAGACCAAGCTCGGGAATAGACTGGTCAACCGCAATAACGAAGCCAATTGCAGAGATGAAACCGCGCAGGAACGGCTTGCTGAGAACGCTGTCGAGGAATCCCAGGCGGGCCAGACCCGCAAGAAAGACAGTAGCACCAGCCATACCCGCAACAACACCACAGATCTTAGCTTGGACCTCTGCATTGTACTCATCGCTCTTGTCATGGTCGATGCTGCCTCTGACCACAGACCCGACCAACAAAGAACCAGCAGCTTCCGGACCAACTACCATCTGAGGCGCGCTGCCGAAAACGGCGTATACGAATGGGTTGAAGACGAAGGCATACAGTCCATTGATAGGAGGGACATGTGCGAGGTTGTCAGCGAGAGACAAAGCCATAGGTAGGTAGAGGGAGGCGAGCGTCAAAGCTGCAACCAGGTCTCCCTTCAGATACGACCATTGGTACTGCGGCAGCCAAGTCAAGAGAGGGATGTAGTACGAAAGATACCTGGAAAACAAGCAGAGTTAGCAGGCAAAGCAGATTTGAGTGGTGAAAAACTCGGGGCCCAGGTCCTGCTCACATCCAAACGGTATCCTTGAAGCCGGCCTGCTCTGCCAGAGTTCTCGAGGAGTGCATCTTCCTGCTCTTGATCTTCCTGACAAATCGCTTCCTCCAGTGGTCGTCGCCCGTGATTGCGGTCAACACAGGGTCCAAGATTGGGATCTCGGACGCCGAGGAGGATGCTCTGTCAAACTCGGGATCCATGCTACCAGCAGGGCTGGCGGGTCGCGGCGAGAATGTACCATTTGGGTAGCTGTTAGCTGGCGGGTGATCTATGAGTACATTTTGCAAGAGGCTCGTCGACTCGCTCGGGGGAAATGTGTTCGGTCGGTTGAGGCTGGAACCGGCGCGAGGAGGATCGCGAGTTTCGTTGTCGTGAGGAAGAGGGGTTGCTAGCGGAGTGGCATCCTCGCGAGTGCTCAAGTATTCGGACTCGCCGCCGAGAGAGCTTGGGGATTGGATGGGAGAGCCCATGGTGTAGCTCTGGCGCAAACCGCTGGGATTCGCTGGGCGATGTGTTGTCTGCGTTGTTTGTGTTGTTTGCGAAGAAGGACTGCGACTCGGTTGTGGTCGGCTACCTGACATTTTTTCGTACCCCCAAACAAGATGACGTTACAGGTTCATGCGGCGAGGGGCGGGAGAGAGGAAGAGCGCTGGAGAGAGGCTCGGATGAGATTGGCGGGGGTGAGCTTAAGCGAGACTGGATCTTGGGATTTAGATCGATTTGGAGATTCTTCGGGATCATGCGTATGGGTATACACAGGGCGTAACACTGATCTTGTTGGTGTTGTTGTTTTGATGTGACGAGAGGTTGCAGTCGTCTCGAGTCTAGGTAGGTCACAAATGTTGCCGGCGGGTAGAGACGGAAGGACGAGATTCGGGACGGAAAAGACGGTGATGGGGATAGAAATGCCGAGTATCAGTTTGTTGGAGCAATGCCAGGCTGCACCATGATAGGAAAATTTGTCACAGCAAGCCTGACTCGTTGGTCAAACAATTGCGACGAGAGAGATTGGAGGTGTTGTGGCTCGCGACGTAGAAAGAGGCGAGCGTACTGTGGTTTGTGGACTGGGAGCTAGGTAACTAGCACCAAAGGGCCCCAAAGGCAAAGGGTCGCCTGGGAACGAGGGAACGAAATGGTCGGTGAATGTTTTCTGCAAGGATTAGGATTCCAGTTCCGCAATTGCCCCAAGGTCCAAGGATCGGAGTGACATCAATGCGTTGGGGCTCTTCAAAGTTGTGTGTCAGCGGAACTCGATTCGACGATACAACCTTTCCCACCTTCCCTACCTTACTGTATCCGTACGCAGTATGGTCTACGGGCAGAACCGACCGGGATGTGTTTGTCTGCGGTTACGTACTGATTGCCATGTCCATTCCCGGCTTAGGAACGCCAGCGGTCAGTGGCATCCAGTGGCATCCTTCCACCGAGAGGGAATGCCGTAATACGGTGAGGACGGCATACCGGCAAAACCATCCCCCGGCAAACAACACTGCTAGTCCTGATTTGGCATCTACCTGCTCACCGCCCTGGAAAGTGACTGATTACGTGAGTAGGTAAGGTGAAAGCCAAGCTCTTGTACCCCGCCAGTCCACTCATTGCCCTCGGCCCCTCCTCCTGCTCCTGCACATCTTCAGTGCCAATGCGGTGCTTCCCGCCTGTTGTCTCCAGAACTCCAGCCGATCGGCAAAAGAGAAGCTGTGGCTCGTGCGCTACGCTGTACATAAACCATCTGTGGCTGGTGCAGCTCTCACCTCATGTGGCTGGACTGAAGCTCCCTCTTATTGTAAGGTGACATGAGCAGATCCCCCGCCAAAGGGACGCATCCATTGCATCAAATCATCCTATCACATCTCACGCCCTTGAATCTCATGATACTCGTCATGAGCACCACCATCATGACCTGCTTCCCATCGCCTTACTGGCACGGCCATCACTCACTCATCCTCCACGATCTCAGCTGAGCTTCTCATTCCCACTCCCGAGATTCTTCAACCGTTGATGCACCTTGACACCATGTCGTTGAACAAGACCACTCTTGTGTTTTCACAACGCACGATCCCGCTCGAGTGCGATGTGTATTCCTCTACTGAATATCCACTCATAGCTCCCGTCTTCCTGTACTTCCACTCAGGTGGCCTCGTGAGCGGTTCCAGGGAATGTGTTCCGCCTTGGCTTGTACAGGTGAGCCCTTCATCTTCATGAACAACCACCCGTGCTTCCTCATCCGACAAAGGTAGCTGACCTTACCACACTAGGTCTGCTTCAAGAATCAATGGACTCTCATCAGTGCGAGCTATCGGATGCTTCCCCAGGCCAAAGCTTCAGGTCTGCTCCAAGATGCCACTGACGCTTACTCCTTTGCCCTGCGTTGGGCAATCACAAATGAACTTGCCCCAAATCGAAAAGTGATTGTAGGTGGATCAAGTGCGGGTAAGAGGCTCATCATCACGTCGCCTAAAGCCTTCATCGAGGCCCTGACTTGAGCCCTAGGTTTCTTCATTGCCTCTCTGACGGCTCACCACCTCCACCCGACTCCCCTTGCTCTGTTATCAATCACCGGTATCACTACTTTCCGTCATCCATTCTTCAGTTCTTCAGTCTTACTTACACCGGAACCCATAACCGAAGCACAAATGAGCCACCACTTATCCGCGCCGGTATCTATAGGAGTGACATCCGCAAATAATCCACAGGTCTTCCATGTTGAGAAGATCCTTCCTGATGGCGCCAAGAATACCGCATTTGTATTGCCTCCACTCTCCATCTCAGATGATGGCAACTGCGATGAGTTCCCCCGAGGATGTCTCTATGACTACTACCTTTACCGCAACGAGTTTCTCAATCTTGTGGGTGAAATTGACCCAGGCTACGAATGGGCCGAAAGTGAGATGGGAGAGAGTAGAGCTGCGGCGTGGCCACCCACGACCATCATACAGGGTGACGCTGATGAAGATGTTGACCTCTCTGTGAGCACGATTGTCTCGGCGATAGCAAGGTGAAGCTCTTCCTTGCTGAGGGACAGCCCCATCTCTACGAGGCGACGAGGTTCATTGAAGACGACATGAGTGGAATGGATGCCGTTAGACAGGCAGTATCAAATCTGGAGGCCGACGTTGCCCGTGCCCTTGCCTGACCGATAATGTCTCACTGGACTCGGACGAGGTTGAACCAAGTACAAGCTGTGGGAGAGGGGGGTTTGTTTCCAAACTGAGGTGGCCTGATGGGTAGGTAGCAATCGAGGGTTTCCTCACCGACTGCCTGATCACACAATGACACTTATCATAAATCTGCCCCTGACAAAGGGTCAATAATGTTTTCCTATATGCCTACCTCAACCTCCACTTCGCAACGGAAGAAGAGGTTAGGTCCGAGTCGATACCTCGAAAAAGCCGTCCTTGCGAAGAAATGTGGAAGTTTGTCTTACTGGTCATAACAAATAGTGTGCAACCCCCAACTACGAGCAACCATGCGGCCTTCGCCTAGAGAACCCCAAAGTCTCCGACGGCCCCGACCTGAATCAAGGGCTTTCAAATCAGGGGCCCCGAATCATCACTTTGATTTCATGCACGAATCTAGCTCTCATCACTCTAGCTGGGGACGCTTGCAGATCCTTAAACCAAACCAACATGACGGTACAGCGTTGTCATTGGCTGGTCCCCACAGGGCACACATGTGCCGCATTAATGTCACGTCCGCCCTGGGCGCTTCCGGTGCCAATCCCCGCTCTCCCGGGGGCCGTTTCCCGTCACTATCACACTCAGGACCATCACGTAAACTCTTTTGCCCAACAGCATCGCGAGACCGCCCCCGATCAACTTCACATATCGAGTTCGCTATGCCCGCAATGCGGTCGCAATGCGGGGCCCTCTCATAAAGCATCGGGGGCCATGGCTTTGTCAAACATCTCAGAGCGAATCACTTGGCGTTTTTGGACCCCGCGCTCATCACCGAGCTGATTTCTCGTAAGCTCGACTGAATCAGGCGCGGCCATTGGCAGCAATCATCAAGTTGCAGGGAATGAATCACACGCAGCGATTCGGCGCAACCCGTCCCTTCACTCCTTTTGCCTTTGTCCACGAGGGCATTTGTTTGCTAGTCATTATGTTAATATAAGAGAGCCTGTTCCCATGTTATTTTCCCTTGTTTCGATCTTCGGAGTACCATCAATCAATTCTCGCTCCTGCTCCAATAACCAACTCAAATAAAGCTCAAATCAAAGCCAAGACTCAACTGCTCGTTCTTAACGGACGTCTTTTCAACACAGCAACCTCGCGACAGGAAATTTCGACCCATTTAATTACATCACAATGCACATCTCAGCCAAGTCCATACTTGGCCTCGTCACCCTTGGCTTGCTCTCAGTAGCAAATGCATCGGTACAGGATTTTGAGCTCATGGTCCCTCGCACATTCACCCACGCCGATGGCACTACTTCAACAATACGCATGAACCGCAACATCAAGTTCACCCAGGGATCAGAAGGCACACGGCCAGTTCGCCTATCAAAAAGATTCCCCTTCTCTTCCGGTAGAGACGAGTGGTGCGGAGAGATGGCCGAGGACCCAGCGACAGATTTCTCAGCTTCCGCTCCGCTGGCAGCAGACTGCCAGGCACTCGCCAGCTCTCTCAGCAGTCAGAATGGATTTTGGACTTTGCAGCCCGGAGACTTCTCTTCCAACGGATGGGCTACTGTAGTGAGCTCCGGAACTTGCAGCTTTGCCGTCAGATATGCCGACTCTGGCAGCGCGGCTAGCCCTATGAACGTTGGCACGAACGATATCCGCTTCTACACGACGAGATATGGTGTCATGGCACAGAATGGAAAGCTTGGGCTGCAAGGAACTGTGCAGTGTTACAACAACCAGAAGATGCTGTTTGTTACTTGGGGTTTAATTCATAGCTGAGTTGAAGTAGCAAACAAGGTGCCGAAGTAGACAAACTCCTAATGATCATATGAGGAGGCAAATCGACCATGACGTAGCCACAGGTTGATAGTAGTAATCTCAAATAGTTGAAAAAAGATGATTTCACACATTCTGGAGGCAAACTTTCTGTGTCCGGTTATTTCTCATAAAGCACCTTACCTCATTCAGCATCTTCTTGCGCGAGTACTACCTTTTCTTCCTATTCTAGAGTTCAAGGACTTTTATTAATTTTGCTTTGGTGGTTAATGAGGAATACAACATGACCTCTGCTTCCCAGATGCACCGTCGCTTTTCAAACAATCCAGGCAGTTAAACACCCGTCTTTGCTGGATGATGTTGACTGCCTCCTTTTCAACTTCATACGACAAGTTGCGGTTGGCGTACTTATTCGAGCGGCAGCCACAAACCCCAACCTCCCGTATGCACGAGAAATCCATCATCGTGATCTTGGGAAGATCAACTGCCGTGTTGAGCAGGTTGCAGAATTTGTGAGTCGCAAAGTCGATGTCTTTTGGCAGAATGTTGGACTTTCGGAGAGTCTCGATATACGACGCCAATGCTTTGGCGGATCTCACACAAGGGTTTTGAGATATGTCCCACGTCCAAGTCATGGGGCTAACGAGACCCTTGTAAAATGAGTTACAGCAGTCGTGTCTTTTCGCCTCCAAACATCCTGAATAATCAACGTCAAGATGATCCTCCACATGAGCCCCGTGAACAAGGTTACTTACGGATGATGTCATGCCTCAGCAGAGGATGATCTGCCAATACCTTGACTTGCTCCGAGCCTCTCGAAATTGGTCCTTCGTGGTGGAGGAAGATTCTCCACGATAACTCTGAGAATTCGAGGGGGAGGTCTATGACATATGAAAAGACCAAGAGGTGACAAAGGTCTGCCATTGGCGGCACATTTTCATCGTAGTCTGAGAGCCAATCCCTGATCCATACCATTCCGCAGTACTTAAATGCTCCGGTGCATTCATACTTGTCGCTCACGAAAGCAAGTCTCGCCAGGCCGATGGGTTTTGGTCTCTCGGTAACATAGGCGTTGTGAAGAATCTGGCTCAGAATAGACATGGACTCGGCATCGTCATCCGGGAGATCAAGGCTGTACGGAAGTGAGAGTCCGGTGCTCTTGGCCAATTCTGTGCCTTCTTTGAATTTGACTCCCAGCATTACCTTGAAGACTGGCGAGTTCAGCATCAGAACCTTCGAAGATACCCTTACTTCCTTGTTCTGTAATTGCTCGTATTCTAGGAGCTTCGCATCGGCGTCTACACCATCTTCGCTATCTTCGGCAACATCGGCATCGTCTATGCCCAGCCGGCTGAGCACAAGAATGAGATCTCCATCTTTGTCGATTTCGCGGCGGATGGACATATTGGAGTGCATACGCGGATCTTTGTCTATGCCTGAAGATCACGAAGTAAACCACGCAACGGTTTGCAGCAGGTCATTCATTTTCTCGATGTCATGCCTCAACGTGAAGTCCCAGAAGGTTTCAGATCTAATCTTTTAACTTTGCTATGTCAGCATAGGTTGCACACGTGCGTAGCTAGGATCACGGTCCGTGGACGAGTCTGAAACGAGAAATCTGCCCGGAGCTGGGGCTCAGTCTCCCACCATGCTAGCAACGCACTTTAATGGTCCTCTGAAATTTCCAAAGGCTATCAGGTTCATGCAATTGTTTTCGTCATTAAACATAGTAGTTGGGCACAAACCGAAAGGTGCCAGCTTAAGGATAAGAAGCAAGGATCGGATTACTCACAACAGTATGGTGAGCAGCTAAGACACTGGTCAACGGTAAGGTCAGATGACACATGTCATCTAGAATGATTTGTATATAGAAACCAAGCTTGAAATAAGAGTCACATCACGCTCTGATTTCTGTAAGATTCAAGGCTCACCGCAAGCGTCGGCATATGCGCGCAATATCGTCAGACACAACGCGTCTTGGACGCATACGGTCAAACAAGCGGAAGAAACGGTCATTGATTAGAGGTCATTATATATAAGGGCCTCTTTTTTGCCACGAGTCACTGCAATAGCGCGAAAAGACACTGAGAGTGACATCAGAGTGTATTGTAAGGTATCTGAGCTAGTTCAAAGTGTGAATAGTTCAACGTTCCAAGAGACCGAAATCAGCGAGTCCTTCTAATGCCCTAATTTCACGCGATGCCGAGTTGCTTAGACATAGGCGGCGCGCATGTTTGTTTCAAAGTGGTTGTCGTTGAACGGACAGTTTGCCTTCTTGAAGTCTCCCTTGTTCAGAGCGCTTTGGACGATAGGCTCCATGGCATCCCAGTCCCAGATCCAGTATGTTCGGCCCACGGTGTTCGTAAACTGCAACTCATGGTCCAAACCACCCTGGGTGTAATATTCGACTTTGACGTTGTTGCTGCTTCTTTGAGGGTTGCTGGTCAACTTGAACTTGCCATGTCCAGAACAGGCGCCACCCGTGATGGTAGCAGTATTGACTGAAGCAGAATCAAGCCAGACGACCGAAGTCTCCCAGTCGTGACGGTGGCCGCCTACAACATTCCCATCAGCTGGCTGATCCTTGGGCCAGTACCAAGCATACATGATGCCGAATTTTCCATTCAGAGTCATGGAACGGGCGTAGGTCTGCCCCTTATTGCCGTCCTTACATCCTCCCGAGGTAGTTCCAGTATCCTGCAAACCGCCGCTTCCCTCTCTGTCAGTATGTCTGAAAACACAAAACTTTGGCACAAGCTACGTACCTGATCTGGTTGTTCTTGTTCACAGCGGGATAGGGCTGGCAGCCATGGGCAATGTGCAGCAGCGGCTGAAACTTCTTGATGACGTTTCCATTGGGGCCGAGAGTATCGACCACAGGATTGAGAGAGTCGTGGGCGACAGTTCCTGGAGCAGGCCAGTCACAAAGACCACTGCCAACAAGGGCAAGAAGGGAGATAACGATGTTAGACTTCATTTTAAGATACAGGCGCATGCGTTTGCAAGATCAGAGTTGGTAAGAGTTCAAGTAAGGTTAGTATGTTGGACGAAGGAACCGATGAGTGTCTGCACATAGAATGCTGCTAGATGTCAGGCGAGCGACTGGTCTTCTTATATAGACATTGAGATACGCCGAATATCTCCTTTGCCTGTAGTTCGACAGCTTCTTACTTAGTCGAAAAGCTTCTCAAATCCGACGAAGTTCCGTGGTCCCGACGGACTTGGCTAACAT